GTTGTCGATTTCAGCCCCTAATTGTATGTGGTACTCACGTACGGCCCCGAGAAAATTTTTGGCGGGAAAATGGCTAACTCGAGAACCAGGGAAGCTGCGAGGCTGAAATTTTCAGAGAATGTTCTTAGCACATGTACAGGTTAAATTTATCAAATTCAGCCCCTCGGCGTGCGTGGTTCTCGCGTACGGCCTCGTGAAAGTTTTTGGCGCGGAAATGGTTAAGTCCGGAAGCTGAAATTTTCAGGGAATGTTCCCAGCTTATGTACGACTTAAATTTATCAAATTCAGCTCCCGGGCATACGTGGCAGTCACGTACGGCACCGTAAATATTTTCGGCAGGAAAATTGCTAACTTAAGAAGAAAATTTTAAAAGCTGCAATTTCAAAAAAATGTTTGCTGTCCAAATACCGCGTAGACGATTAACTTCCCAGACTTCGAGGGCCAGTATTTCACAAATTTCTAGCTACTGGGTTTCCGAGCTATCTCATTACAGCACGAAATATTGCAAAAAAACGCGCGATCGCACGGGCCCGCCCGGTGTGCGTCGCCAATGATTTTTAGATGGATTTCCGAATGAGAAAAGCTGTTTTGCTGCTATTCATTAAACAAAATTAATTAAATTTTTATGCGTTTTTGCATATATGTAAATTGCAACCCAGGCTGGAACGCACCGAGCGGGCCCGGGCGATCATGCTTTTTTGCACAGGACTTGAAGTACTCAGGTCATTAACTGCATGAGTGGTTGTTGCATTACACCTGCCTTTGGCGATCACTTGCATAAACCACCATAGATTTTGCATAAAGTAGATGTACAATTTTCATTTAACGATCGTTCTTTAAAAGTAACCTAGTTGCTCAGCAGATATATCAAAATTTTAAGTGTCCGTACGTAAAAACCACGCGTAACTCAAGGCTGAATTTGAAGTACTTAAGATGTAATTGGAGAGGGAACATCCCCCCTAAAGTTTCAACCTTTTGCCTTTTTTAGTTGCCGAGTTAGTAATT